CCCCAAAACCCCAAAACCCCAAAACCCCAAAACCCCTTCCAAAGACCAGCACAAAAATTATATAAATTTAACCAAGACTCATGAATACAATCGCTATCGTCGGAATCTGTATAGCCGCAGCCACCATTGCTGTACTAGCAGTCTTAATGATCTGGTGCCTATTCCTGAAGAGAGATAGGGTAAACTCAATGTGTGATAGATGTAGGGGGGAGAACAAGAAGAAGAGAATGAAGATGATATTGAGCAAGGAAGGAATAGGGAAAGAGAAGAAAGGATAGGAGAAGGAAAAGGAATCAGAAATAGAGGACTAGATTGTTTTATGAATGCTCCTTTGCAGTGTTTTGTGGGAATGGATGATTTTTGAGACAGGATTAAGGATGAGGAGGGGATTAATGTCGATAATGATGAAGCGGAATCTGATGATGAATTGAATGGAAAAAGTGGAGTGTTGGAGAAATTTAAAAGGTTTATCGAGATATATAAAAAAGATGATAATTGAAATATGGTGGATTGTGAATTTTTAAGAGAAGCCTTCGAAGCTGAATTCCCCAGCTCGGAACAACATGATACAAGACAGTTTATTATGGAACTTTTCGAAGCTATTCAGTCTGAACAAAATATTTCAAATCAACCTTTTATTTCAAGTGGCCACAAGGATCATAAAGATGCTTGGGAAGAATACACCAAAAATAATACATCGATAATTGATGATTTCTTTATTGGAATGTATGAGACTAAGTTCCAATGTGAATGTAAAGAAATTGAAACAGTTTATGAGCAATTCAACCATATTTCATTGCCAATCACTATAAAGAATTCGCTTGAAACTTTCAATTTGTGGTTAAAAAATTGCAAGAAAAATACATATTCTGAGTTTAAATGTAAGAAATGAAACAGTTTCAAAAAATTTGAAATTGTAAAACAAATAACCAAGTTTCCTCAATATTTGATCCTTGCTTTTGAAAGATTAGATACTCATAAAAATGTTAAACTTGACGGTATCATTAATTTCCCTTTAAATTTCACAATGCCAGATCCTGACAATAATGAAAACAACAAGCAAACCATTGAATACGATCTAAACAGTATCATCAATCATTCCGGCTTTATCCACCAAGGACACTATACCGCCAAAAGCTTGCGCAACGATCAATGGCTCAATTTCAACGACTCTCTCTATGAACCTCTCCTAGGCCCTCCCATAAACGACCCAAAGGCATACATTCTATTCTACAAAAAGAAAGTTTCCTCCTAATTCGTTTCAACACTATTAATCCCAAATGGGGTTTTGGGGTTTTGGGGTTTTGGGGTTTTGGGG